GTATATGTTCTACTCCAATTTTTTGGGCAATTAGACTGACAGGCATAAAGGACAAAATTAAAGAAGATAAATTAATTTGCTCCAATATTGACTTGATGTTGGTGTTTTCAAATATATGATGATAATTGATTTAGTTTGATGTAGAATTGCAAAAACAAACTTAAATTTAAAAAGGAAACACCATTTTTTTTATAGGTAAGGTCAATTTTTAATGATGAATATTTGTGATTGTGTTTTCGTGACTCAGATGCAATTTAATCGTGCCAATTGATTTTCTTACGTGTGACACTATGACAGTGCGCTTTTTGATTATTGGTGGATTAATTGAACAAATTAACCTGCCTCTTAATTCTCGAAATCTAATCCACAGAGAAGAGAAAAAAAATTAGGGATTTTGTTTTTCAACTTATACAAGAGTAAAATGACATAATTGTCCTTTATTTTTTTTAAATTACTGTTATATCCTTAAGTAGTTAAAAATAACGAAAAAATTGGATGGATGGGTGGGAAACTATCGTTTTGAAACCTTTTGGGTGGGAACTAAGTAGTTAAAAATAACGAAAAAATTGGATGGATGGGTGGGAAACTATCGTTTTGAAACCTTTTGGGTGGGAACTTGTTATTAGGCCAAACCTTAGGTGAGAACTGCTCGTTCGCCCTATTATAATTAACCTGGTGTACTTATTGATAAAAGTTAACGTATTTTTCCACCAAAATAATGGTTAATGACATTTTTTTCTTCTACAGACCTTTTAAATACCATTTTATTATCTAAATTTATATTTTAACAGTGAATAAAGAGGAAAATCAGTCTAAACTATTGTAGCTTTTAAAAAGGAAAGACTAATGAGTCTTTTGATAGTAGACTGTTAAATTTTAGTGGTTGAAATTAGTTAAAATTTGACTTGAGAGGGGAGATTATGTAAACCCTAATTGTTTGATTAGAAGGGTCGGCGAGAGTAGGGTTTGAGTGGTTTTGGTAAGTGATGATAAAAAAAGAGAATGATGGTAGTGTTGGGTCGTAACAACATAATAATTGAAAATAGAATATAAATTTAGGTAATAAAATGATATTTTAAAAGTTTGTGAGTAGAAAAATGATATTAAATCATTATATGGGTGGAAAAAAATCTTTTACTCTATTGATAATGAAACAATAATTTCGTGTAAACTTATAAAACAAATGGGAAGGTCGACAGTGCTATATATAATTAACATTATTACATTGAATGAATTAACTTCATCTGAATGCGTTCGATTGTTATACTTTAGATAATCATCCAAGATCAGTCTGGTCAAATTCATATATGACTTTTAAATGGCAGACTATTTAGACGAAGACTCCGATTAATTGAAAAGTCAAACAAGAAGACCACCAAACCTTTCGGCTGCAGCAGCTGATTACGATGATGACTGGTAAATGACTACGAGTTCCCTTCAACAACAAAGTCTTTTTTTTTCTTCTTTCCCGTGAACGTATGCAGAAAAGTTCTACCTTTTACACAATGTTTATCCATTTGATCTTTATCCTAAAACTACCGAATTCTACATTCCAAAACCTCAACTCTTGATTTGCTTCCATCGTTTTGGAGAACCTTTTTATCTTTGTAGATGGTCAAATTCGGTGCCTGCAACTTACACACAACTTGACCGTCACATCTTATATCTCTGCCGTACGTTTTTCTCTTTCTCTCCATCTCCCATCACATGATCTTACAACAGTTTCAATTAAAAAAATAATTTATTAAAGTAAATTCATATATATATATATAAACTTTGTCTAAATAAATAAAATATTTTCCAATCACGGACCACTCATGCTTATAACCACACGATTTATATCATTACATGACATTTCACATGTGGAAAATTAAAAAAAAGATTTAATTGAATAAAAGTCATCTAGCTGACGTGTGAGTGTGATGTGTGTAGATTTATTTTTTTAATCTAAGGACACGCAAGCTATCTCATTTTCGGTATCCAGTTGGGTCCTGCAATTTTTCTTTTCTTTAATTTAAAGAATTATATAATATTTGTTTATTTATAATGAAGCTTGTTCAAGTTCATATTACTCTTTTTGCATGTGTTATATACAGGGCGGCTACTTTCACCCGACATTAACGTGACTATTTAATTTGTGTAATTATAATTTAAAATGTCAATTATACTTTTATTATCAGATAATTAATATAAAAAATTAACTAATTATATGATGCAAATTACTCTTCTTTACAGACGTGAAGGTGCTGATATCATTCACTGCCGAAGTTAAATTTGTTTTATTTATATTCACAATAAATGGGTTGATTTATTCTTGAGGATTTATGATTACAGTGTGTTGTTGATAGGCATGGGGCCTGCATTTGGTACAATTTAGTGGGAAAAGAAAAAATTAGGATAAGAAGAATTAACGATCCGTTGTTCGATGATTCCTTCATTGTCTGCAATGGAGGCTGTTCTTTTATTCTGAAATGGCCATCAATTTTTATATTGAAATTGGAATAAAGACTGAACTACTTTATAATTTGAAAACTACATAACAAACTCTGTCATTAATTCTTCCATTTTATGTGGCTTAGAATCCCAGAATTTTGGGCACGTCCGCTGGTTAATTAGTAGTTGGCTCGTTCTAAAGCTGATTTTGAGCTAGCTGCTTGTATTTTTTGTGGTGTTCAGTTAACAGAAGAATTTGTGATTCAGATTACGGAATCGAAAAGGTGGAGGGATTCGAGAATACTTTTTCATATGATATAAGTAGAAGTAATGTATGTATTTGCATTCATGGAATCACGTAACAGTTGTTCTAAGCTAGAATGGTCCACAAGTATTTAGATAAAGACGAATTTCTTTAAAGTTTGTTATTTGATTTCGGTAAATGGTAAGGTTTGGGATAGAATATGTTTATATGAGAAATAGAGATCTCCAAAAACAAAAGATAGAAAGATTAATTGACAAAATTCTTCATTGATAACTATAATTTAGATTTATGTTATTATATAGTCTTTCACTTGACCTCACTGACTCTCAAAAAGACTTTAATTGTCTAATTCAAATCTAATAAGATATTTTATCTAATTATAAAAAGATAATAAGATAATCCTAATTATATCCTAATAAGATAATAGAATACTTATCCATAATTCTAAAATAATCCTAACAATAAATGTAAATTGACTGTCTCTCTCATGAAAAATAGACATATTTATTTAATATTTAAGAGAAATAGGAAATAAATATTTGCAGTAGAAGCCAATTGAGAATGCATGCATGCTATAGTATATTCTGTTGTCGATTCCTATTTTTTGTTTTGTTTTAATCCAAAATAGACGGATAATACAATTCAACGTAATAGTTTCCTTTTTTGGAAAATAAACATTGGCAACCCAAAAAAAAGAAAAAGAAAAAGAAAAAGAAATATTAATGAAAATAAAAATGATATTAAAAAGAAGAAAAGAACAATAATGGAAGGCAAATTGTAAATCAAATGTAAGAAACAAAACAGAAGAAAAATATATCATGTGAAAATACAGAACAAATAAGAAAACAAATGTTAGGAAGACCCCAAGATTCGTGAATTATATAGAGAATATTTGCCACTTTTAGAAAGTAGCTTCTCTCCTTTTTTTTTTTTTTTTTTTTTTTTTTTTTTGGATCATCGGAGGTGTTTGGTCAGCTTACACATACTCAAATAATCTTTTGGGGTTCTAGAACTGTCGACGGGTAAGAGTCCTAATGGTCCTTCCTAAGTGTTAGAATGACTCGAACTTAAGAGCTCATGAAATTCCTTTGGTTTTTTTACCATCAAACACCAAGTGATGGTTGAAAAAGAGAGTAAATTTCCCACATAAAAAAAGTAAAATGCAAAAATAAAATCCTAAGGGGTTAGCTTGACGGTCAAAGAGGTTTGCTTTCTTCTTGAGTTTTGGGTTTAAACCTTGAGGTCATCTACTACAATAACATTATGATTATCTGATCTTTTTGACTTGTACTCAACACCCTAATTACCAAAAAAAAAAAAAAAAAACTGCAGGAATAATGTTAAGTATATTGTATAATTACAAGTTATTCCACTATACTATACTATACGAAATAAATGCAAACTATATTCTAAAAGATCATGGTTAGTCAATTAAACTCTCAACAAACATAGCCGATAAACTTGGATTATATTTAAAATATCATATAAATTCATAATCAACTACTTCAGATATACAGCTATTAATTAAAATAATTATTTGCATACGACAGGTTATACTCTTCGTCCAAGTCACATCCATGCTTTGAATTTATCATCTTTTTTTTTTTTTTGTTTACATTATTCCCTCCCAACCCAATAACTTTGATCTCCATTTCTGTCTCGTTAAGGAATTTGACTGCATCCTTAAATAAATTATTCATTAATAATATTATGAAATTATATTAGTATCTAGAGGAAAGATCGACAGTATCTGCAATTATTCAACCACCTGTCTTGACTTCCAAAATGAAAAATCAGTAATTAGGACAGCACAAGTTAATGGAATAATTAATTAATTAATATGTTTCTTCAAATACCATCCATGATCGATATGACGCATCAGCCACTGATTTTTCTTGTTAATTCTTTCTTCCACATGATTTCCCACGTTTCCTCCATCTCTCTCTCAAACACATTTTCTCTTTGGCCTTCTTAGTTGACCAAAATGTTAATCAAACCAAATAAGATTATGTACAACACACCAATGCATTTTTTCTTACGCATATACTTATTGTACTTTCAACACAAAAAATGCTTTTCAATTCGCACTATAACTATTACAAGCTAGACTCTGAAGAGAGCCGTTGGTTGACTAGCCAGCTAGCCAGCCGACGTTGAAATTTATAAAAAAAATAAAGAAAGTACCACGTGCAGAGCTCCTAGTGGTGGTGACCCACACTGTTATCCATTACGTAGCTCCTGCATTTCTCCTCGTCTATAAATAAGCTCTCGTTGCACCATACATCATTTCACCATAATTTCTCTTCTTCTTCATCTTCTTCAGCTTCGCTATATTAAATTCATAGCAAATACATTGCTAGTTGTTTTATTTTTTTTTCATAATTAAGCATGGCCGGTGGAGGATTATCGGCCTCCGCGCCAGCGGCCGGAGTCGAGTTTGAGGCTAAGATCACTCCGATCGTTATCATTTCCTGTATAATGGCCGCAACTGGAGGACTCATGTTCGGCTATGATGTTGGTGTCTCTGGTAATTAATTTATTAGTATTATTTTTTTATTATATAGGAAGTTAATCTGTTAATAAAAGTAGCCAGACATTTTTCGGTTGTGGTTTTTTGAAAGTACTTAGTCAGGAAAAAGTTTTCGTTAAACGTTTTCTGTGGCTAGTAGTGTTTTTAAATTTGATACCAAAGAGTATCAGGTATCTTTTGAGCTTTCCTATTTATGAAAAATAAATTATAGTTTAGTACTTTGTTATTTAAAATTAACCAAAAGAGGAGAAAACTTTTTCTTTTTTTGATTTTATAATTTCAAAATAAACTGTGGAAATTGATTATTTGTTGAGAACTTGTGAGTAGAAAGGGAAAATAAATAGTTTATAATTTGGTGTTGAATCTGTGAAAAGGAAAAGTTGCTTTTTCCCGCTAGAAGAATTCCCAGTAGGCTGGAAACTTTTTTTAGTGTGAAAATGCTGAATTATCCACAGTCATGATGTTAAAGAAAAGAGCAGTTTCGGTATTTCAATAATTCTCACCATCTTCGCCGATGCTACCGGTGTCGGTGATTAGTCAAGTTAGGTGGTTGTTCGGTTACTTGTAAGAAAAGTTTCCCTGAAATTTACTTCACTAACTTGCGCCTATGTGCTTAAGAGACTTTTTAAAAATAATTAGAATCATTTAAATGTGCGTTTAGCTTAAATTATCATTAATCCATTAGTTTGGCAGCGTAAAAATACTTTTGCTAAATTGATTAATTTATTAATTTGTTGAACTGATGCAGGGGGGGTAACAGCAATGCCCGATTTCTTGGAAAAGTTCTTCCCTGTAGTTTACAGGAAGACACAAGAAGATCTGGATAGTAATTACTGCAAATATGATAATCAAGGACTACAGCTGTTCACTTCATCCCTGTACCTTGCTGGTTTAACTGCCACTTTCTTTGCATCATACACTACTAGAGTACTTGGCAGGAGACTTACCATGTTGATTGCCGGTATTTTCTTCATTGTTGGTGTTGTGCTTAACGCTGGTGCTCAAGACCTTGCTATGCTCATTATTGGAAGAATCTTGCTTGGTTGTGGAGTTGGTTTTGCTAATCAGGTTAGTTTAATTTTTTTTTTTCCTACGGTTATTTATTTTGAAATAATTGTGGGCAAATAACTACAATGAGTTAATAGAAAAGGGAGGGAGGGCAAAAAATTAGGCCAAATCAGAGGGGTATGTATATTTTATCATAATGCATTAAAAGTCTACATATTATTATTGAGGGTGAGCTGATATAACTTGTTAGAACTTTCGAGTCAAAATTGGGTTCATTAAATTATATAATGTGAAACCAATTCCTTTGGGAATTGGGATGGCTTCTTTGCATGAAACATGTGGCGGGGACATTGCATCCCCACATTAAGGCTCTTATATGCATATCCACTTGATGAAAGCACAACTCAGTATGAAACAAGAGATTATGAAAAATACATAAGTCTTAGTCATCCACTGGTCTTTTGGATTAAAAATATTAATTTAGTGTTTCGGCCTTTGTATGTGTGATTGAGACTTTGTTTTACATGTTGGTTTAATTCGAGGAAGCATCATGTGACAATGATCGTTTACCTTGTAGATATCCGGAGAAAAGTTCAACAAGAACAATTTCTTTATATCTTTTCACTTTGCTTTGAGAATCGTTTTCTTTAGAAAAGTCCTTTCTACTGTACATTCTTAAATTTTTTTATCTTATCCTCTAATGGTGACTTGGACCTAAATCAAATGGTCCAGGTAAGAAAATTTGACACTAATGTATACAAGTGTTGCTTGACTTCATTTTTTATGGCGGTCTTCAACTCTCTCGAATATTGGAAAATTCTAAATTTATGAAGCCTACAACTCACATACAGTAATTAATAAACCCACAAAATATGCCACCTATGGTTAAGTTTGTAGTTGTGAATCCACTTGTGTGGTTCTTACTTCAACTTTAATATTGTCCTTTCCACCTACAATATTTAATGTAATTGATTCACTCAATAATACATGAAATTTTTTTTTGCTATTTACATCAGATTGTGACAAGATTTTATTAGTAGGCTAAGGGTACTAGGCTTTTACAAAGTCAGGAAATGGTATATTCATTAGTCTTTTCTGATTTGTTGATATGCAACAGGCTGTGCCACTATTTTTATCGGAAATAGCCCCAACAAGGATACGTGGAGGTCTCAACATACTCTTCCAGCTAAACGTCACCATCGGCATCCTTTTCGCCAATCTGGTCAATTATGGGACCGCCAAGTAAGTCCAATTCTTCATCTTCATTTATTTATTCTTTAATAACAGAAGACATCAAAAGGAATCTGTTATTCTCTCCCATGAATATGACATTTTTTTTAAACTAAAATTTTATTACTTTTATAATTGTTGCTCTTCGAATTAAGTGGGTATTAAAGTATACGTGCCCGTTGTATATTCACTAAGTAGACGAAGGTGGCAACTGTTGAAAATTAAGGAACTTGTAGACAAAGTGTTAGTTCATTTTTGACTTTGCTTCCCTGTCATATTCCAAAACACCGTCCTTTATTGTTGACATTGAGTATTTTATTATCTTCAAATTTTATTGTTTACATCTAGTATTTTATTATCTTCAAACCGACTTCCTTTCAGTAGTTCAGCAAAATCATTGGTAAATCACCGTAAATGGCATTTGGTTTCAAGGTGGATTATTATAATATTTGTACCTTAATACAAGGGATACTTGCTCTCTTTTTGGCCCAAAGGGCCGTGGTTGGGCGACATTAACAATTTTCAGGTCCTTTGCCAATGGCCATAGATGATTAATAAACCTGTTACTTATTTTATAATATCTAATGCCTCCATTTTAATAGTTTGAATCCATTAGATGAGCAGGCTGTTTGAACTTTGTTTGGGGAATTAAGAATCCAATGAGCCAAGTTTAGCCTGAAGCAAAATAATTTATGAAGGCTTGCCATAGTTGTGTTAATATTTACCATTATGGAATTTATAAAGTCTTGACGTAGTTGTGTTCCTATTTATCATTATGAAAGAAATTCATAAGAAACAACAAAGTTGATCATTTTTATGAACTCAATCAAACATTTGTATGTGTATTAACTTTAATAATTTGAATTAGGCTTTTTCTAATAGCATTTTGTATGTAATAAATCATATGTGGACTTTGAGGAAATGATTGACTGTTTCTTTCTACCTTGATGAACTTTACAATCAAATTATGTGTCTTCTTTGATGGAATATATGTCACAATTTCTTGCTCAGGTTAGATTTTGAATTCATTGCTTCTTATCAATGTTTTTTTTTTTATTCATTTGAACAACAGAATCAAAGGAGGTTGGGGTTGGAGACTATCACTGGGGCTGGCAGGCATTCCTGCTCTTCTCTTAACCATAGGGGCTCTCTTTGTGGTAGACACTCCCAACAGTCTTATTGAGCGAGGTCGCCTAGAACAAGGAAAAGCTGTGCTGAGAAAGATTAGGGGTACCGATAATATTGAACCCGAGTACTTGGAGTTGGTTGAGGCAAGTCGTATAGCTAAAGAAGTGAAACACCCCTTTAGGAATCTCCTTAAGCGGAGGAACAGACCCCAACTGATCATAGCTGTTGCCTTACAGGTAATATTTCTCACAGTTTATCAGTATTAAATGTAAGGAAAACTGTCATATTGTTAAATTTCTATCACTCCTTGACCTTCAAAGCACAATGTTATCATAGAATACGCACAAACCGTGCAATTTACCTAAAACCTAATTAATCAGTTAATTAATATTTCAAACTAAATTATATGTGAACTAAATATAAACTTTTGAATTTTATTAGCTGACAAAGTTTAGTAGTTTTATTGACATTTGTGGTGTTGTTTACATTTGTAACAGATATTCCAACAATTCACAGGCATCAATGCAATCATGTTCTATGCTCCAGTATTGTTTGACACTTTGGGATTTGGCAGTGATGCTTCTCTTTACTCAACTGTTATAACAGGGGCAGTGAATGTTGTATCAACCATGGTATCTATCTACTCAGTTGACAAACTGGGTCGTCGTGTGCTGTTATTAGAAGCTGGAATCCAGATGTTCTTGTCTCAAATTGTAATGGCAATAATACTTGGAATCAAGGTTACAGATAACTCGAATGACCTCCACAGTGCCTATGCAATTGCAGTAGTTATTATGATTTGCACTTTTATTTCTGCTTTTGCATGGTCCTGGGGACCTCTTGGGTGGTTGATTCCAAGTGAAACATTCCCTCTGGAGACCCGTTCGGCTGGGCAGAGTGTGACTGTTTGTGTGAATCTGCTCTTCACGTTTGTCATAGCGCAGGCCTTTCTATCAATGCTTTGCCATTTAAAGTATGGTATCTTCATATTCTTCTCGGGTTGGGTTCTGATCATGTCATTCTTCGTGCTATTCTTGCTCCCGGAGACCAAAAATATTCCCATTGAAGAGATGACAGAGAGAGTCTGGAAAAGACACTGGTTGTGGAAGCGCTTTATGGATGACTACGACTACGAGGACGTCCTGCCTCCTATTAATGATATTGAAGCCAAGAAAAATGGACATACTAATGGGTTTGATCCTGCTTCCCAGTTGTAAATTTGAGAAAAGCTTTAACACATATACATCAAACAAAGTATCGCTAGCTAGATTATAAATATATTGGTATATATAGTCTCTATGTTGTTTTTATTGTATTATCTTGAATCCATTTGTTTAAGAGAGTATTTGTTTTCTATTAATATTGGTTCCTTTGTACCACATCGTTATTCTAAAATTGAATGAATGTTTTGCAAATTTTGATACATTATATATCTCCAAATTCCGACATTATGCAACAATTGAAAAATTATATTTTTTTTTTGGGAACCTTAAGGTTTAGTTAAATGTAATCCCACTCTCGAGTGAAGATGTGTAGCACGGTTTTAATAATCAATCTGGGATGAAATCCGATAAAGTGATCGAGGCTCGGGTTGACCAATTGAACCTGTGACATCATCATATTGATGTCAGCATAAAAAAATCTAGATTTCTTTAAAAAAATTCATTAACAAAACAACAAACATCAATACAATCCCTGGATTGAAGTTTACAACTTATTATAAATCAAAATAACAAAATTCATAAAGAAAGTCACAAAATAATTAATAAACATTTTAGCAAAACAGGGTACCTGGAGCACGACACAACTCCACAGCAGGGCACAAACACCAGAGCACAGCGCCACAGCAGCGCACAAACACAATACCCACAAGGGACAGCAGTCCACAAAACAGTCCAGAAACTAAGCCTACAGCACTCGAAATCACCAGAAAATGCAGCCATATCCACAAACACCATATTACCATCAACAACATCTTTATAACCCTTAGCTAAGACAGCAGAATCACGCCACGCAACTCCACCAGCTCTCAAACTCAAACCACTAGGCAGCATAGAGAAAAGGCTACCAGCAGCACTCAACACAACTCACGCGAGACCCTGCACAAAGACACAGCTAATCCAACAATTCTAATAATTAAATGTTTGAAATGAATGATAAACAAGAAAAATGTCTTTTACGTGTTGCGATTGGAACGATTACTTACTTTTTAGGGGAACCAAAAAAAAAAAAAAAAAAACCTATAGTATACAAAGAAAAAAATAGATCAATTTTATAAATGTCTTCAACTTTTAGAATAAAGTCAATTTAAATTTCAAACCCACACCATAATATTAAAAAGTCAAACAATAATTTGACATCAATATTTTCTCTAATTTTTTTGAAGCTTTTCTAATCTTTGTAGAAAATATAATGACAAAAAGCCAACAATTTTTTTTTTTTTTTAATTTGAAGTTACCATTAATTTAAGAGAATAGATAAAAAAAAAAAAAAATACTACACTTATAAAGACTCTGTACAAAATCATCCATTCAAAGTGATGTAACACTACTCTTAACCTCTTACATCCATATCATTTACTATTATCTACCGTGTATTTATTAAATTGATTTTATATTAATTTATTCAATCATTACATCCATATCATTCACTATTATCTATTGTGTATTTATTAAATTGATTTTATATTAATTTATTCAATCATAATACGACAAGTCACTTTGTATCAATAACTTTGTATAAAGTCTTTATAAGTGTAGTATTATTAAAAAAAAGATTAGAAAAGATAAACTCATATGAGAATAAGTAAACTCGTATAAAAAGAAAATAAAAATAAGAAAAGGAAAGAAAAATAAGATTATAAAATTTTGAAATCTATTTTTCAATAATATATAAGGGACAACATCTTTTTTAACTTAAATTTTTGACTTGAATTAAGATACAATTTCTTAGCCGTTGATATTTTGTAATCCAATAAATATGAGAGAGTTTGAAGGTAGTTATATATTTCGCACCTCAATAATTTCTATACCATTGAATTGTATCGAATCCATGGCTTAAAATTTGTGAAAAAAATTTAAGTCAATCTCATCCCAATATATAATATTCTTTGCAGTACCTAATAACAAAATTACGTAGAACTTACCTTTTCCTTTGTGGCCAAATGATAGACCCTTTAGTCATTGAGATTAGTTATACATAAGAGGTAAGGACGTTGCCAGAATTTTGAGTAAGTGGGTTCAAAGTTAATAAATTTACAATAAAATTTTGTAGGGTCAATATGAATTTAAGTGAGGTCAAAATTGTAAATATCATAAAATATAAAACCTTTTTCATTTATTTTCAAAGTTTGAGTGGGTTCAAATTTCAATATTAATTTTAAGTGGGGTTCAAAGAAATACTATAAAATATAAAGTCTGTTTTAATTTTTTGGAAAGTTCGAGTAGGTTTAATTGAACCATATGTTACAGTGTGGTTACATCCCTATTAGAGGGTTTTGAGTTCGAGTCACATAAGAGATATCTAACACATTTGTGCAATTATCTTTATCCATTGAGTTTGTAGAGTGTTTTGTGACCTTAAAGATTAGGTTGGCTCCAATGTAAGCCGAGATATCTCGTATACCTTAAAAATAAAAAATAAAAAATTCAGAGATCTTAGCCCCCCATAGGTTTCCTGTAATTGATCAGTTTGTTCTTTTGATTAGATCCAATGCAAGACATAGTTGAAAAACATATGTACCATCTAATTAATCAATTATACTTTTTGATTAGATCCAATGGATCTATGTACTCACCAACTCAACGTGACATTTTATCCACTAATTTGACCACTCACTTCTCTAACATCTCCAAGGAATATTGAGACAATAAGTGTTGTGCAAACTCCTTAAGACTCTGATCAATTATTGATGTATAGTGGTGCAGCGAATTTAATGCTGAAATAAAGTTTGATTGTTAAGTAAGGAAATATATAAGAGAGTGAGTCCATTTTTGGAGAAGGACAAGTCCAGTCATACTCATATAATATGTGTTGGTGAAGTAATTAAAACAACTTCCTGTAGGGGTCATTTCGGTTAAATTTTTTTTGAAACATTATTGTACATCAACAGTTCGACCAACTGGGGAGAGTGTGTATATGAAAACATTAATGTATATGAAAACGTAACGTGGTGAAGGAGAGTTTTAGAAAGCAAGTCTGTTGGAAGAGTAATGGCCAACCCCATCATAACACCCACCAATAATACTAATAATAAAATAATAAAAATTGTCATCATAGTCTCTCGGTTTGCAGTTGAAGATGAACTTCCACCGCCAATTTTATTTTTTATTTTTTAATGATAAGAGTGTTGTAGCTAACTTATGTGTACTTTAATTAATTTTCTAGAATTTTGAAATTAATAATCGGATAAGTCTCCAATGACCACCTCTATTAACAATCGAAGTAGATCAAATTCAATATCTTTTATGTAATATATCCAAACCCAGTAGTGGTTAAACCACTACCATTTTTTGCCACCATTCTCGGACATTCTTTCCTTTCAAGGCTTTTTTTCAACCATAACCTTAAAAATACATTATCATGTGCGAAACAGCTAACATTTTGTTAAATAATTAATTTAATGTTTCCATAATGTCAATTACAATATCTTGGGTCTCATTCTTTTTCTTTACTAACAGAAGGATTAATACATTAACACGTGTCATTAAAATAAAGCCAAATCTTGGGCCATTTGTTAGTTTCCAATAAAAACGGTGCTAAAGTGTTTAATGACAAAAATAGGGGGACCAAAATAAAGTCCAGAAATGATATTCCAACGGCCAAATCCAAACCAGTGAGTTGAAACGGTTTATAAAAGCTTACACATAAAAGCTCCCTCAATTCTCACAAGCTGATCACTGAATTTTAGACATGGCCTTGGAGAAGAGATCTCTGCCTCTGGTTGTTATGCTTACCTTGTTTTTGTTGAAGGTTTCCAATGCAGCTGTGTACAAAGTTGGAGACTCCGGTGGCTGGACCACCATTGGCAATATTGATTACAAGCAATGGGCTGCTACCAAAACCTTTCAACTTGGTGACACTATCCGTAAGTTTATTTCCCTTTGTTTTTCTTCCCCTCTAATTGCTCATATGTTGTTATAATACTAGTTCATTCCTAATTTTAATATTTGTTGTCAATGTTTTTTGGTATTTTCCAGGAATTGTGTTTGTTTTTCTGGGTTAAAGTCTCTGTTTTGATATAATTTTGGTAGCTTCTGACTCCCCAATTTCTCTCTTTTTGAGTGAAGCTCCTCTGTGAGAATGCCTGATTTCTGTAGATCAAGTCTTAATGAGCCCCTAATTAATTAACAATTGTCTTGCTCTCCAATCTGCTACTGTTTAAGTTTGTCTACATCTCTCTTCAGAACGGAGATAGTGGTTTTCTTCAATATTCCAATTTCAATAGATCGTAGTTCATACAGTGCTTCCAAAAGATGTACATTGGCGATATTGACCCAGTTTTGTTGTTTCTTTTCGTTTTGGCTTTAGGAAATTCCGCTTTCAGAGTCTGTAAGTCCTTTGCCAGTTTGCCTAGTCCATCAGAAAAAAAGTAAACTTCCTTTGTTAATGAGTTGTGCATGGAACTGAGTTGCAAGTGGCAAACACCAGATGGCTGAAGTCTAACATCTCTTCTCTGTGTCATAAATTCCAACCGTAGTGTCGTTGGTTCCTGGTTATGGTGGGCCATCACCATGTACATGTGCTTCCACGATAAAAAATCTCTCTTCCCATTCTTGCACGCTTCAATGATGGACGCTTTTGTCTTGGCACAGCAAACCCCACCTAACTTTTTCACTCACTGCCTATTTTTCTCCATGGTGGGGTTCAATATATTGACAATGTCTGTGGGGCATCAGATCCATTAACGAACCATGGAACTGTTATTTATTTTCTTTTTTCAACTTTTGCGTTTGGGCCTCTTGGATTTCAACATTTTTCTTTACTTGGTTTGTTTTTATGTAGAAAAGTATAAACTCAAATGCCACTTTCATGCTGTAAGGGTTATTTCTATTCATCTCACGGATAAACTAGTTGGTAACTATTCAGTCATTATTGCAAAAACAAAGTCCTGCTTACAATCATAGGACAGAAATCTTGCAGTGGGATGTGTCTAATTTCAGAAACCTTCATCATATATATCAAGAAATTTATTCAGAAGTAGGACCACACTGAAATGAATAGAATCTTTGATTATGTTTGGGGTTATAAACTCGCTGGACTGCTGTCAGATGTAGCCTTGTAATGTTGTCATATGTTGATCTAGTCAAAATAATTATTTCTGAAGGAGAATGCATGACTGTATTTTCGGTTTGTGCACTCATTTCATACTTTCTTGTCGCAATCCTAATTTGTTATACAGTTCATTGATTGGGGTGTCCTTATGTTGGAATTGGATGCCAGTTTTCGAGTACAATTCTCAGTTTCACAATGTGATGCAAGTGACTCATGCTATGTACAGAGCATGCAATGCTTCAGCCCCTTTGGCCACTTACACTACTGGCAATGACTCCATCATAATTAAAACTAAAGGGCACCACTTCTTCTTCTGTGGCGTCCCGGGACACTGCCAAGCTGGACAAAAGGTTGACATTAACGTGCTTCGCACCAGTGATCAACCGGCTGCAGCTCCTTCGGCTGCAGTGTCCTCTCCTCCTTCCGTCCCTGCAGCAAAAGTTCCAGGGCCTTCTCCGAATAATGCTGTCTCATTGAAAACTTTGACATCTCTTCTTGGTAAGTTCGCCTTGACAATGGTAGTAGTTTTGCTATTTTTGTCTTCAGGCCTTAGTTAGCGTAGCTTGTGAGCTATTTGGAGGTGGTGTTGCATGTGTTGAACTATTTTGAGGCCTCTGGGGTGTAAGATTTCGTTTTGTGTTCCGGCAACAATGTCGAGAATATAGTCAAATGGATCGTTTTACTACACTAGAAAAATAACGTGCAGAGAAGTTTTATCACATTTGCTCATTCTTATTGATTACATGCAGCAATTTGTTATTCATACCTACTGTGTTGTAGAATTTTCGTAAATGAATTGCTTTAGACTTTCTTTTATTAAAGCAGAGGAACAAACTGATTATCTTGCTTGCATGTACCTCCTAACTATTATAACATGAATGAAAATGATTTCTCATTTTCCCATGGCATCGCACTATTCACAGTTATAAAGCAGAGTAAACGACTTTTTTCCAACCAAGTAATGGCTTAATAACACTTTTTCATCTATAAACTTTTAAAATACTACTTTTCGACCCAAATGACACCTTTTAATGACACTTTCCTACATACCCTGCCAATTGCTACCCGATTCCGGTATCGTTGCGACTCCAAACCACCACCTTTCTCTTCTCCGATTATCATTTATCAAAACCCTTCAAATCTTACTCCTGTCGACCTCTCCAATCATTGGCAATGGAGCGATTAGGGTTTGCGTAGCCACCCCTCCCAAGTCAAGTTCTAACCAATCACAACCACCGAAATCTAACATTTCACCACCAAAAGACTCATCGATCTCTCCTCTTCAAAAGCTTCAACAGAATAGACTAAGTTTGCTCTCTATTCGCCACTGAATCAGAAAGTGTATTTTTTGGGGTGGAAAAGTGGTATTTTTAAAATCCGTCGATGTAAAAGTGTCATTAAACTATTATTTGGGTGGGAAAAAGTTGTTAAGCCTTATAAAGCAAAACAAATCATCTCAAACAATTTAAACATCTAGAAACTCATGCATGATCAATCATAATACAGGCCAGGAAAGAAATAATTACAGTACTCTTTGAGAACTTTACAGCAATTCAATGATATTGATTTGTTTGTCAACTTTAGCATGAGTCATTAAAGAATTTGCAGAGATTTGTGATAATCCTCTGTATTATAATGAGTTAACGACTTTTTCTCACGTAAATAATGATTTAATGACATTTTCCTATCCACAGACTTTGAAAATACCACTTTATTACCCAAATTTATATTCTGGTAGCGAACAAAGAGAAAACTTGGTCCAGACTATTAGGGTTTTGAAGAGGGGAGAATGATGAGTCTTATGGTGGAAGGTTGGATTTTAGTCATTGGAATTGATCAGATTTTAACTTGGGAGAGGTGGTTACGCAAACCCTAATCACTCAATTGCCAACAATTGACGAGATCGGCGAGAGTAGGGTTTGGGGGGTTTTTGTGATTGATGATCGGGGAAGAGAATGGCGGTGGTGTGGGGTCGCACCGATGTTGGAATTAGAAATAGAATACAAATTTTGGTAGTAAAATGATATTTTAAAAGTCTGTGGGAGAAAAAGTGTCATTAAGCCATTATTTGGCCATGAAAAAGTTGTTTACTCTATTATAAACCGAGAAAGATCTAATTATCTAGATTACACGCTAACACACTGGCATGTCAATTGTATTGTTGTTAAACACTAACACAAAAGAAAACTTTCCTTGCTTATTCCTTTAGTGAATATTGTTAAAAAAATAACCATAAGAGCAAACGACATGTTCCCACCAAAGTTTTAGCCAAACCCAAAGTTCATACCCCTGGTACCATTTATTTCATATTCTCACCCTTAAACTAACATTGTAAGTTAATTTTAAATTTTGACTTTTACAATTACTATCCTGCCCTTTATTTTTATTTCACCCCACCCAACCACCATCACCATCTAGCCACCACCACCACCCACCAAACCCACTTGATTGCCTTTCAGTCCCAATTTGGCATGATTCCAAAGCCGATTGACCAACCCAACACACCATCAGGATCCTCTCATCTCCCTCTCCAAAACCCCTCCACTTGTAGCTCCAATTCCGGCTGTTCTTCCTTTCCAAAACCCTCCATTTCTAGCTAGGGGTGTGCAAAACTAGATATTTGATCCATATTGCCTATTTTCTGATTTGATTCGATTTTTCGGATTGGGGTAAAAACGGATCCGAATCTGATCCGGTTTTGATCCAAATTTGAAATGTCTCTTTTGACATAGCAATGCTAAAGGACGTTAGTGGCCTTCTCCTTACCCAACAACACCTCACTCTGTCTCTAGCCTACTCCAATATCAACAGCCACATACCCACACCATTACCATCACCATCACCATCACCATCTTCAAATAAAAAAAAAAAAAAATCACTACAAAAATATCAAACTAAAATCAAGAAACCTACACCCATATCAAATCAATCTATAAAGAACACAAACAACAAATGACTTTGCTATCTCTAGAAACATCCATTTGAGTTGCTTGATTAACAGATAGATCTTTTGCGGAGAAACTTGAATGACTTCAGAATGCTCATGTTCCAAGCTTGGTTGGTTTTCATCTTTGGTTCTTTTGAAATTAGAATTGTCTGTAATCTCATCCTTGGGGGATGTCTCAAAGCTGTCACAGTCACAACCATTGTTGAAACAGAAACGACAGTTTGGAAAGGTGAAGCTATTAGGGGCAAGTGGCCATGCGAGTTGTTTGGGGGAGGAGGTGGTGGGAAGAAAAAATGGTGGAAACGTTTCTAGGTTTTATACATTTTATAAATTTAATTTTTAATTTTCATTAATATTATTAATTATTAATCTGTATACAGATTTTTATTATATAATTGGGCCTTCAATCAAACCATTTTATTATAGAATTGGGCCTTGGGAAAATCAATCTAACGTATATAAAAACAAAATCCAGATACGGATATCCAATTTTTTTGAAAAGCCGATCTAGTATCCAATCTGAAAATCCAGATCTTTCAAAAATTTGATCTAAATCCGATCTGAATTTTTGGATATCCTATTTTTTGGATCGGATATCGGATTTTTTTGCAAACCCCTACTTTTGGCTCCAAGTCACAGTCTATCAGACTTGATTCTGACGGTTTTCCCGCTCCAAAATCCCACTACTTACCACCATTGGCCTCTCCACTTCCTCCTGAACAAAACCCTTACTAGCACTGACCATCATTGCTTCCCAATCGCTGGCCGCCACTTGTTGCAATTCGCGATCAAACCACCTTATTTCCAAATGGGGTTTTGGAGAGAGAGATGAGAGGATCTTGATGGTGGTGTTGGGTTGGTCAAATAGCTTTGGAATCAGGTCAAATTGGGCCTAAACAATGGTTGAGTGGGTTTGGTGGGTGGTGGTGGTGGTGATGGCTGGATGGTGGTTAGGTGGGGTGAAATAAAAATGAAAGGGCAGGATGGTAATTGCACAAGTTAAAATTTAAAATTAACTTACAATGTTAGTTTAAGGGTGGGAATATGGAATAAATGAAACAAGGGGTATGAACTTGGGATTTGGCTAGACCTTGGGTGGGAACATGTCATTTGCTCTAACCATAAAGACCTTTGCAATCAAGTGAATATTTTGCTTCAAATTGTATTTATACATCACTCAATTTTGCACAAACCAGATGGTCACTAGAAGTTCAAAGGTCAAAACTACAAAATTAAACCAAATGGTTAAATAAAAAGATCTCGATTTTACACATTGGTAATCGTAATAGGTTTAGAGGAATAATGAGTACTAATTAATTGCTTATGTACGAAAAATCAACTCCACTTCATATGAATCAAAACAAAATCCAACCCTAAACCTCATTCGATCATTTTGTTTCTAGAGATACCAATTCCTTATTTTTTTGAGGTTTTTTTATGGCATCAAATCAAGTGTTTTATTCTTTCGGCTTCTGCTGTGAGGGGTTGGTTAAGTTGTCGAGTTGATTGTTAATAATGTGTTATTATTGTTGCATCATCTATAACAATGTTAAGGTATGTGTTTTCTTGTTCTTCAAATGATTCAACTTTACAAAGAATATTGCGGTGAATTCTAACTGTTGGATGAAATGCCAAAGAGAATTTCAATTTTGGCTTGGATTATGCAATTTCTTCTTGTTAAGATTTCAATCTCTGCATTGTAACACACACGAGTTGTTTATTAAGCACTTTTAATCATGCTTTTGTTATGAACAGCTTGCTAGAGTTAGTATCTTTTGCTGCCTTGACCGTGATTGTCTTTCATGAGTTAATGTCTTATTTTATTTTATTTTATTTTATTTAAGTCAATGTGTAATTGATCTTTGTTGTAAGTTACTCGATCGTCTTTTCAATGGTCGTTAGAGATCTGTTAATTTTTTTCCTATCCAAAACCATAACTTGAAGTTGAAACGTTGGGCACTGGCGGCATGGCCTTTGGCCTGCATGTTGTGTGCTCAATATTGAAGGTTGGTAATATGTTTCATTTGGTTTAATCTTATATGGGTTTGAGGTCTAAACTTGTCTTTTTTCTTTCGTGGTCTTGCACCTCCCCCTATGGCCATCAATCATTCTCAAACACTGAGAAAGGGAAAAAAAAACACAAAAAGCTAAGGAAGGAGATAAGCACTTCCTCACCCAAGGTTCTAGAGGGGATTGCCATGAGCGGCGATAAGACCATCAGCATGGCTCAACCTTCTTAGGGCCCTCCAACAATCCTTCAGGAACCATTAATGCAAGTCGTACCCAACCAAGCTCTTTCTAACCGGGCTCCTCCAACATCCAACCCAACTACTGGATTAGATAGTGGTTGCCCTGTGGTGTTTGGCTCTCTTGGACATACCTTTCCAGGAATTGGCTCCAATGTTGATGAGCAGGTTTTACATCCCGAGACTAGGCACTTTTGCGAGGAGATTTCTAAGTCTCTCATTCCTTCTGACATGATAATTACCCTTGATATTTTGAGTACCCAAGCCATGTTGAAGTTGGTAGTTGGCCTCCTCTTGAAGGTAAGTTTCTCTTATCTCTTGGTCTTTTTTTTGAGATTTTATTTAGACTTGTTGGTAGCTTTATCACCTGATGACTTATGTA